AAAACCGTAGCAGGAAGCTAGCGAAGTCGTAGTATATATCTATATCGTCACAAACAAATATATATATATATTCGCACATCAGCAGGGGACAGGCACTGCAGCTTAGGCACGTCAGCACAGGATGAACTTACAAAGCAACGATTTGTTTTTCGAGCAAATCAGGCCTGCTGCATTCCATTGCTGAGGACTGATCCAGGCTCGGCATGTCCGATTCTCTGTGATGATGATGCACCGGGGACAGGCACTGCAGCTTAGGCACGTCAGCACAGGATGAACTTACAAAGCAACCATTTGTTTTTCCAACAAATCAGGCCTGCTGCATTCCATTGCTGACGACTGATCCAGGCTCGGCATGCCCGATTCTCTGTGATGATGATGCACCGCGTGTGCTTCAGCAACTCCAACCAGCACGGAGAACGTGACAGTCGTTCCTTTGCCTATCCCATCGCTTTCGACGTGGATATCGCCACCATGAAGCTGGCATATGCCTCGACAGTTCGACAACCCTAGCCCAATGCCTCCATGCTTGCGCTTCGTAGAGGTGTCAGCTTGAACAAACTCCTTAAAGAGACACGGTATCAGGTGCGGTTCGATGCCTATCCCTTGATCACGGACCTGAACAGATACCTGCATCGAACCCCCGCTCCGCAGTTCCGTTTCTAATTTCTTGTCCATCGGAAACCCTGTTCGACAGGACGGCTTGTCGTCTGACATGACAGAGTTTGTCGCCCCATCATTGCTGCCACAGACGGTGTGGCTGCAGCCTGGCTTCCCAGCAAATGAACAGCTCCCGCCGGTTCCCTGACCTATTAAACAACTCCCGCCAATTCTTTCTTTCCCGCCCTCCTGTATTAAACAACTCCCGCCAATTCTTTCTTTCCCGCCCTCCTGTACTAAACCACTCCCTCCAATTCTTTCTTTCCCGCCCTCCTGTATGAAACAACTCCCGCCAATGCTTTCTTTCCCGCCCTCTTGTATTAAACAACTCCCGCCAATTCTTACTCCCCTACCCTCCCGTACAGGACAACTCCCACAATTTCCTGTTCCTCCGCTCCTCTCCCGTGGACGTGGCGTCAAAATGACACCCTCTTGTTGAGACTCCAAACCCGCTCGCTTGCCCGACGGGCTTCCTGTCGGGATGGGAGGCGAATTCAGTCCGCAGCAGGCGCCATCGGCAGATTCCGCAGGCCTTCCAGCGGGCGCTATGGAAACAGAAACACTGGAAACAGAAACAGACACGACGACTGGTTTGTTATGACCAAACTTGCATGCGTTGACTATGATGTGCCGAAAGACGTCAGCGATGCGGCCTCGATCGCCGGTCAGCGAGGCAGGCAGGTGTTCGGGGACGACAAAAGAGACCTGCACACGGTGCTCAGCCGCATAACTCTTCACCGCCTCTGTAACGTCTGCCATGAGCTCGCGGAAATTGAAGCAGCGAAGCTTGAGATGAAACACACCCCTCTGCAGGGAATAAAAATCCACTACATCATTAGTCAGATCGAGAAGGTCGTCGGAGCTGGTGGCTACCATCTTCACCATGTCCCTGAGCTCAGTCGGTAGGTTAGCCTCTTGGAGCACGCGCAGAGCGTTTGCTATCGGCTTGAGCGGCGGGCGCAGCTCATCATTCATAACCTGCAACACACAGAAACAACCCCATCCCCCCACCATTCCTCCCGCTCCCAACACACACACACACACACACACACACACACACACGTGTAATAAGTGTTTGTCCATTAATCAACTGCACCCTGGCAAGACTGTCGGGGCTCACCCTCCTGATGAATCGACGACAGTCCAGCGAAACAGTCTGGCAAAGTCATGCTCTCTATGAGTTGTTAAAAATAGACTCTCTCTCTCTCTCTCTCTCTCTCTCACACACACACACACACACACACACACACACACACACACACACACACACACACACA